TAAAATCCAGTTCACTTTAACAAATATTATAATGCATACTTAAGTGTCATCAATGAAAATTTTTTGGGTCAACCCTTTATTTGTATAGCACTTTATACAATACAGACTGTTAAAGCAATAGTGCAGCCAAAAATAAGAATGTGCTTATTTAAGAGTTTGTTTCTTCATTTTAACAGACGTGGTGAAATTTAGCATTACTTCCCTTGTGAAGCCAAAAGCTGTGTGTTTATAAGATAAAGCCCATAATAACGCTTCCTCCAGTGAAAAAGTGCATCTGCTGTTGTCTCTCACATCAAAACCCAGCCACATATGTGTTTAGAGCTGTTTAAACGCTGCTTGATCTGTGCAGATTTCTCTCCTGACTCACACCAGAACACTTTTTCACTGGAGGAAGCGTTATTATGGATTATGGACTCAATGTATTTTAGTTAAAAACGTCTTAATGCTGGATTAGTTTCAGCTTTTGTCTTCTCCAGATGTTAACTGATGGACTGGAGTGCTGTGGATTACTTGTGGATTATTGTGATGTTTTTATCAGCTGTTTGGACTCTCATTCTGACGGCACCCATTCACTGCAGAGCATCCATTGCTGAGACACTGATGCAATGCTACATTTCTACAAACCTGATGAAGAAACAAACTCATCTACATCTCATATGACCTGAGGGGGAGCACATTTTCGGCACGTTCATGTTTATATTAACTATTCCTTTAAAGCAGCATCACATGAATAAACAGGAACATTTTTTAATTTACTTTAGTTCGATTTAGTTCAAATGTGCTTAATTCTCAAGAAAACAGTGCCACAATGCTAAAAGACTGAATCCAAACAGGCAGATTGAGGGGTGAAACGTGACCTGCACGTGTTCAAGAGATCCTCCTCTGAGCTCATGATCATGTGTGTCGGCTCACTCTGCGGTGTGACTGTGAGGACGGTCTGGGCCGGGTGTCCGTGGACATCAGGAGGGTTGCGTACGGCGCAGGTGTATGTGCCGTTATCAGTGAGCGAGGCGTTCAGCAGCTGGATTGATGCTTCGCCGCGCGACGGGCTGCCGACCCACTTCACACGACCCTTAAAATAATCCTCATTCGGCAGGTACGCTTGAGACGAGAAGTGAAAGAACTGCAAAGAAACAGATCATGGCCTCAATACCAACATGTTTTTCATATTCTGCAGATGATTCTGTTATGAGCCTGCAGTGCTGATGAGAGACACACTATTCTCTGGAGTGAAGTGTGATTCAGAACCAGAAAATCACTGCCAGACAGTACTACATTATTTCTCTAAACACCTAACTAAATACTAGAATACAAACAAGACGACATAAAAAACTCACAAGGACTTTAATGAAAGAATCAGTGATAGATTAAATGAAAGGATCTGAATGAGCCGATTCAGAAAGAACAGTGGTGTTCACAACACAATGCTCCATTTACATGTGGGGTTCACTGGAAACACCAAACCATCCTGAGAACAGCTGAGCTGATGTTACACTGCTGAAATAAACCAGTCGTTTTACTGCACAACCACGTCTCACACTGCACGAGTGTTGGCTCGCATCGCTGTCTGCTGCATCATTCACAGCTTTATGAAGTCACTCCTGATGGATGCTGTGGTCTCACCACAGAACACACATCCTACTCATGTGACTTCCCGCGGCCTGAGTGACTCCTGACCAGTGATTCATGCATTATGAACTCAAAGTCTTAAGATCTACTCACCAGTATGGCAGGACCACCGCTCTCGTGTCTGACGGTCCAGTCGACGGACATGAGGCTGGTGATGGAACTGGAGGAGGTGAAGGAGCAGGACAGGGTGACGGTGGCTCCTCTGACCACGCTGATCTCTGCTGGAGCCTTTACGGAGATACTACACACGCTCCTCAACAGCACTGACACAGAGACATCAGTAAGGATAGGTGTTCACTCAATGTCTGCACACTCACTGCACACCTTCTGTGTTTGCACACTCACGGCACACACTCGATGTTCACACACTCACTGCACACATTCGGTGTACACACACTCAAAGTAAAGACTTACTGAGCACACTCATTGCGCACACACACACACACTCTCTCATTGCCATGTGTGGCTGTAAGGTCTGAGTTTTGTTGCATCACTCATTCTCAGTGTAGTTCTGTCATTAGTGTATATTGTTATGCTGTAAACGGTGATGACAGATACCTGTCATATCTAATGTTCAGTTCCTCAGAACAATAAAAGTCATAAACTGCAAATTCTCTGATATCATATCAAACACTAGAGCTGTAAACGAGTGAACATAGTTAAATCTCAGTTCACTAGACTGACTAGACTCAGTTACGTAACAGGGGTCAGCTGTAAGAAAAAACATCCACTACTGTGTCTTTATAACTAGCAACTCACCAAGGAATAATTAGTCATAGTTTTTGGATTTAAATTAGACCAATCTATTTATGTAATTTACTTTAAAAAGTTATGACTAGTCTTACAGAAAAAAAAGCATTGCTATCTTCCAAGACTAGTCAGCTCATGCATCTGCAATACGAGCAGAACCAGAAACACAGATGACTGAAGAGCCAGTGAGTAAAACAGCATCAATGTGTGTAAGAGCTTCAGATCATCGGATGACGTCACTTCTGGGACGAGCCGTGATCTCACAGCGTGACGTCACATGTCTCATCTCATCTAAACTCTAATAATACGTGTGTGTAAAGTCTTTTGATATGACCTTCAGTATCAGGAAATTCAGTGTAAAAGCTAGTGATGTTCAAATAAGAATCACAAGTGACAGTAAATGAAATTAAGTGGGATTTTAAAACGACGTGTATGATGATCATAAAAACAGATACTCCCTTACAAACATCTCGATATTTTCTAGTCCTTTTTATTTAATATTGATGGAGACAAAGTAATGGCAAAAGCTCGTTCCGATTAAAATCATGTAAATAAAAAGACATCAGTGGCATTTTAACTGTTGAAAAATACAATCATATGAACTGAATGCTAAGATTTATATAACTAGACATTCAGTTGACTGCAGGATTCAGCGCAATCGTCGGTGGTTGTCACATATTGATATTTACACACGGCAGATGATTGACAGCTCGTCTTTTCACACACACACACACACACACACACACACACACACACACACACAGAGACAGAAAGCAAAACAAACTCAACGGATCTCAAATGACACATTTATAGTCCTTCTGAAGCAATAAACTCCCTCAAACCCGTTTATAAAATACGTTCAAACAGTTTATTATCCCGTTTCAAACTGACCGAATTAAAAACTCCCAGAACTCACCGAAACCGACGACAAGACACGATAAACCTCCTTTAAACGAGCTTCCGTTCACATCCATGACAAATAACTGGACATATATGATCACATGCGAGGGACTATGAGTGAGTATCAGCAGATATCTGAGCAAATATGAGTCGCGTTTATGTCGCTGGTTTGTATTTGTCCTCCATGTTTGATACCTGCCGAACAGGTGAGACCGGAAGTTACACCACTGACTGAAAACCAGCCCAAAATCACTATCACTGTCACAACACCTGTTAAGCTCTTAAAACTCAGTATTAAACACTTTACACCCAGTGCACATATGCATGTGCTACTTCATAATTTATATCACATCAGTTATGATATAGGCTATGAGTTCAGTTATGATACATCAGTGTGATATAAACTCTCTCTGTGTGTCTGAGAGGATTTTATGTCAGATTATGTTGACAATCGATCACATTTTCATTAAATCAATTGAATGACAGCTATTTGAGCTCAGATAAATCGAAGAACACTAGAGGGCGCCGATGCGCTTCAGGGACTCCAGTGTCACTATAATGACAGCATGAACAAACCACAGCATACAACTGAACACATTCTCTCGAATCAACAAGCATTTGTTCACTCTCGCATCCATTTACACAGTAGTGTCTGAGTGTGTATAGGGTTTTCTACACTGGTGGGGACTTAAACCTGAATACACACAGACTCATGGGCACTCGTGTCACTGTGGGGTCCTAAATTGAGGTCCCCAGGGGTACAGAAGCTTATAAATCATACAGAATTAGTTTTTTTGAGATTGTAGGAAATGCAGAAAGTTTTCTGTGAGGGGTAGGTTTAGGGGTAGGGTTCCTACCCCTCACAGAAAACTTTCTGCATTTTTAGATTTTCAAAAAAACACCATTTAGTATGGTTATTAAGCCTTTTGAATTACACACACACTCACACACACACACACACACACACACTCGCACACGCACACTCAGACACACGCACACTCACACACACACACTCGCACATGCACACTCAGACACACGCACACTCACACACACGCACACACACACACACACACACACACACACACACACACACACTCCAGAAAATCTGAGTGTGAGTGAGTGTGTGTGTGTGAGAGTGTGTGTGCGTGTGAGTGTGTGTGTGTGAGTGTGAGTGTGAGTGTGTGTGTGTGTGTGTGTGAGTGTGTGTGTACATGTGTTGATATAGATGTGAAATAGAATATAGAATAAGAAATAATATAGATATTTGTATCTACAGATCATCAGATCGAGTTTCTCGAATGCTGCAGGATCTTTTCATTAACTTCACTTTATTTTTTCTTTTCAGTGCTGTAAGTCTAAAGAAAGACATCATCCTTTTAGAGCTTTTGGGGGTCACAGTAGAAATAAAATAAAATTCTATTATCTCACAGAAACATTCGTATCATAAACAAGCAAGAGAAGACGATTTGATGGTCTGAGCGATGCAGAAGGTTTTCATATACAGTATATATATTTCATATATTTGAGTTTAATGAGTTTAATGAGGAGCCTGAAGAGTTTCTCAGAGAAATGAAGCAGATGATAAAACAGAGCAGAACAAGAAGAACAAGAGAATTGAAAGGCGTTTGAGGTTTCCTCTTCCTGTAAAGAAACTCAGAGACACACAGAGAGACAGAGACGCTGCATGTGAGACCGTTTCACATTCACTTAAGGACATTAAATCATCAGAAACCATGATTCTCATCAGCTTCATGTGTCTGCTGCTCGCCGCGGCTGTGAATCCAGCTCAGAGTCAAGGTGAGATCAGTTCACCCTTCATCTGCATTTATTATCTGAGCTGATGAGAACGAACGCTTCACGTGATGTTTCACGGTTCTTATGTTGTTTGCTCATTTAATCTTTTTTGTCAAAGAAATACACGAGATCAAATCAGATGGTGTCGTTATCCTTTGCTCTGGAGGTGTCGCTGGTACAGTAAAGTGGGTTAAGGACAAAAACGATATTGCAGGCCAAACCAATGCAACCCTTGAAGTTAAAGCTGAACAGGGAAGAGTTGAAGGATTCTACAGCTGTACATATGGCGATATAACGCATGTGTTCTACCTCAGAGTAAAAGGTGAGGAGCCTTCGTCCTGAAACACACGTCTCTTCATCACACAGACACGGTTTTTCACCCAGAATCAGAATGTGCATTATAATAATACTAATACTAATCCTCTCACTCTTTCTCTCCGGCAGTGTGTGAGAACTGCTATGAGCTGAGCAGGTTGAAGGCCACGGCCCTCATATTTGGTAATTTACTGATCACAGGACTAGTTATTCTCATCGTCTTCATCTTTGCTAACAAGAACTCTGGCGGCACACACAAGAGAGGTACAGTAAATATACCACATCACCTGTGATCTCACTCCAAAACCCAATCAGTCTACGGGACACTTCACACGTTTACAAACCAGTTCAACACTAAACTCAACCAGACACATTCCTACAGTAATACCAGAGTGCAATACATTACACATCTAAAGAACGAAATACTCCTAAAACTACTGGATGCAGCGGAACACCTACACAGCGTTAGTCTTTCAACTTCATTCTCATTTCTACAAAACTGAGGAATAATGCTGTGCTGTAATGAAAACGAGAAACACTCCTGCTTTATAAAGACATTTACAGAAGCACACAGTGTGAGATTTGAGCTGTTTTTAGCTCATTGTTTTGTTGCTAGTGTGATGAAGAATGACTTGATCTGAGTCTGTATTTTGGCATTTTGGAAAAAAAGATTTTTAGAATACAAAGATTATGGGAGCGTCTTTTATAAGAAAATACTGTTTCAGTCTTTCCACTTCAAAATGTCAAGTTTAATGTGTTGCTAGTCGTTTTTTGTAACTGTTTGAAGGTCAGTCCTACAGTAAATGTGTTTCAGAACTCTGATTGTAAAAACAAATGTTATTGTTTTATTTCTTTTAATTCACAGCATCAAATTTGCGATCAGAAAACCCTCCTCAGCCTCCAAACCCGGACTATGCGGTATGTATGGGAACCTTCTTACATGCTATTAATGATTAGTTGTGCCATTAGTCATTAGTTGTGATTGGTCAGTATCTCAGCGTTCCAGTGTTGCTATAGTAACCTAGATAACTAGATCTGCTAGTGACGACATCAGTGTGATCGAGTGAAGGATGTTTTGGAGCTGCTGGGCTTCCGTGAATAGAGTTGCTCTACTCTACACTGCTTCAGGTGATTCACTCTAAACTTTCTGACCGATTTGATGGTGTTTGTGTTGTTTTCCAGCCTCTGGATCCAAAGACGCGCAACAATGCAGTGTACTCGGGAATCAGATAGATGCTGTTCAGACAGCTGCACAGTAAATCAAACTCTGGTGATTCATAGCGTCTCGTACTCGTTTGTTCCACAGTAAAGCTTTATATATCATTGATGTTGATGTGGAAAGTTGTGCTCAGAAACATCGGAAACTCGTGATGTCAAATACTGTGCTTTCTGTTCGGAGACCGTGTGCTTTCATGCTTTTATGCTCGTAATCTTGTTATTCTCACAGTTCATACGAACTTTTCATGTTCTGATGTGCAAGCGTCTCATTTTTTAATCTTAGACTTTTATCTCGTACAGAATGATTTAACTCAACAGCTGAATGAACCAGGTTGAGGTTTTAATGATGCAGCTGCTGCACTGAGAAAATAAAAATGACAAATAAAGATGATTTTGTGTAAGTTGTGGAGTATTGATTGGAGCTTTATAGTTTATACAATTATTGGTAACACTTTAGAATAATGCTCCGGCTCAAGCTTTACCTTTTTAACTTGTTTTTCACTTTAAAATAATGATAAGTTAATAAATAATTGAATACGTTTTTAGACGTTACTGTTGTGATTAGTAATTAATTGGTTATTCTTTATTAATTGGTCATAGTTCGCAAGCAGTTCTCAATGAGGATATTTTTTTTTAGTAATTATAAAATATCTAATAAGGAACTACCTTTGTCCTAAATTTGCTACTACTTACTGCTTAGTTAATCTTGCTTCTCTAT